TCTACTGAGTCATATTATCTGTTCTTGTTATCTTTGACAGATCAATATATCAAACAACCACTCAATAAATGCTCTCCTTGACAGGGTATGAATTCCAAGAGGATGTGCACAGAGCTTTATCACAACACCTGAGGGTCCTTAGGTGCCTAACAGGAAATTCATCAACAGCTGCTATCACTGCCAACAGTCAAGGTTTTGGCTCTAAGGCCTGGGCTGCAGACTGATAGTGCAGTCTCCTGGATATGCCCTGCTCAAGTCTCTTGCCACTCTGTGCCTCAACTTAGCAATGCCTCTAACATGATCCACCCACCACAGAGAACTAGGTATTACCAAGTGTTTTGTTTTCCTAATTCAAAACTCTGTTTAAGATAACAACAACAACAGCAACAAAAACCCAGAAGTTCTCATGAAATTCAAGCTTTTCTAATCTCAGTGGGGACCCACCTTTCAGAAACACAGAGGTACACCAATGGGACACACATCTGAAACAGATTCATTCACTCAAATGTCCAACAAATCAAAGACAAGGTGAGTGAGAGGTGGGAAGACTTGAGCATCAGGCAGAGTTCTTAAAGAACACAAGGAATTCAGGTGGGCCCATCAATGGATGGCAGGTTCTAAAAGAAGGATGCCTCAGACTAGAATAGAGAGCACTGAAGATCTGGCAGGGTTTGGTGCATAAAGGAGCAAGGAGATTACAATTCACCAAGTACTTAAGAGTCCAAAAAGAATGCACCAAGTACTCTTATATAGCCTGCCCACTGAGAAAAGCAGCTTCAAATCCGCATATTAAAAGATCTAGACTGTTGTAGGATACTGCTATACCTACTACCTAATGCCACGTGTACCCGTCTCAAGTCAAACTTTTATGGTTATCTGCAGCTTTAATACTTGATGATCTTTCCAATCCAGCCAAAATCAAGTTTGCAAAAGTGCTCTATAAGTTATAACACAGGGCATGTATCACACTTTCTGTGTGATATTTCAAGATATGAATTACCAAGGCAGTAATTGGTCCACCAGTCTTTTATCAAATTCAAGACTGAAATTTTAACTATTCCTGTAAAAATTCCAAGAACACACGAGTTTATGCTCAAAAACACACCTAGGCTTCTGTAAAGCACAGAATGGATCAGCAGCTGTATCTGTGTGTCTAAGAGAACTGCAGGAGCTAGATACCTGACTAGGTGTCCAAAAGCAGAAAGGTACAGCAGGTGAGATTCAGGAAGGAGCTGGGATCAGAGCTGGCTGTCCCAGTGCCTTCAGTTCCTGCTTCCTGACTTAGGAGGTGAGCAGAGAAGGTTGGCATATCTGAAGGAAAGTAGGAATACTGATGGAGTGGTGTCTTCAGTAGAATAATTTGAAGGAAGAAAAATCTCCTTCTGTAACTAAAGACTGCTTAAAACTTAAATCAAACAAAGCATCTAAGCTTAAGACGTTGAGCCACAAATCCCAGTTTCCCCTTGCTTCAAAGGGCTGTCAATTACAAACTGGCATCAGAACAGATTTCAGCAGAATATTCTGCAGTCAGAATACAGGAGGATGTCTTATGAACCACATTTCCAGAGCTTTTGAAGAACACAGAAACAAGTCCCCTAAAGCAACATTCAGTCCAGAGATCCTCATGCTGGTGACTTTGTACCCAGGACAACCTGGCAATGTCTGGAGGTATTCTGAGGACACTCCTACACCTGGTGGGCAGAGGTTAGATATACTAGGAAGCATCCTGAAATTGTTGGCCCCAGAAACTGGGATAATGAAGCCAAGAGGTTCCAAGGCCTATAAAGAAGCCTGTTATCAGTCCACCACTATGGAGGAAACATAGGAACAGAAAAGAGTCATGCCCAGGGTCAGGGCATGTCAGCAACAGTACCTCAAAGGAAAATGAAGAGAAAGGAAAAACAGAAAAAGAATTACTGCCAGGGCCTGAGACTGCAAAATAGACATCTTAGTTCACTGTTTAAGCCCACCTGGAGTTGCCAAGCCTGCACATCTGAGGAGGCCTTGCTTGGCAGGTAAAAAAATCTGTTTTAAAAAGATATAAATTATGAATTTTTCAGTGAATAAAAAAATGTAAAGGTTTATCTAGTATACTCCAGCTCTCACTGCTTTTCAGGAGCCCTTCAGCCCCCAGTCCTTGCTTCCTGTGGATCCCAACCCACCATGTCACACCTGGACCTTCCTAAAGACTGTCCACAAATACATTTTCTTCTGGCGTCCTGTCAATACATACTTCTAAATCAAAGCTATAAAACTTCCCAGTACCCAACATTAATTACTCTTGAAAAAATGACCAAAAAAATGAAGCGAAAAATGTAGCTCAGTTGGCACAGTACTTGCCAACCGTGCAGAAAGTTCTGGATCTGAAATCCATCACTGCATAAAGTGGGTGTGGTACACATGCCTGAAATCCCAGCACTCTGGAGCCAGGAGCAGCAGAAATTCAAGGTCATCCTTAGCTAACCAATGAATTGCAGGCCAGCCAAGACTGTATGTATCTCAAAAGAACAAACAAGCAACAGTAACTTATAGGAAAAACATTAACAAAGCAAAGACACACTGTCAACAGAACAGAAATTATATGCTAGGATCTAAAGAACTTAGAGGGAAGTGCTATTTTTTTCCTGGAGGAAGTAGCATTTCTACCCACAAATCTTTGCGTATTGTCACTCTTTCAAAAAAAGAAGAGATGGCAATCTTGTTTAACGACACCACCACCTCTCTGTACCTGCATGAGGATCCCTGTAATCATTTTACCAGAAGCTGTGCAACTGCTTTGGAATGCAAAGTGCACTCATGATCACCAGAAGACGTAAGACTGAAGGAATCCTTTCCTGGTCATCCATTTCACTGCCTAATGCATTCAGTAGGCCAGAGAGGGAGCTCTGGAAACCTTTCCTGTGTGTGGGTCCTAAATTCACCAGTCAAAGCAAAATACCTCGTTCTCCCAAAGCAACTTCCTTGCAACAGGCCTGGAGGCCCTGACTAGGCCCCAAAGTGGTTACAGGTCCACTGATAGCCGTTCCCAGGTACAGCCCACTAGGAGCTGCAGGGTTTCCACCTGTCAATCAACAGAAATCCAACAATGCCAGAAAACTACGGCTAACTACTGCTACTGGTAACAGCTGTCAGTAATCCCAGCACTCAGGAGGAAGTACAAAGAGAATTTTGAGAGTTCATGGCCTGCTTTAAATAAAAAACAAACAAGGCCTAAGGGTATAGTGCAGTAGCAGAGCATTTGCCTAGCAGGCACAACCCTCGTGTTCCCCCCCTCCCCCATAACCCTTCGTTTTGAAGGTGTGGCAAAGAGGCTGGTGATGCCAGCATTGTTTGCTCCTTTCTTTGGGCGAATAAAGCATGGGATACAAAACAGCAATTAAATATGGCTGCTCACCTACTGCTGAAGAGGAGCAGCAGGGCCTTGCTTCTGCCCTCCTGTGAAGACCAACTACACCAGAGCAGTCAGATGTCACAGGGACAATGACAGCAGATAACTTCCAGTGAATGCCAAGACGTCCGTGTGCAATACGTGATCGCTCACTTCACCCTAGTGGGAAACAAACGCTCCCTAGGGCTTACATCTGATGAGAGAATGCCAGCAATCAGGTGCCTCCCATACGCACTCCGGGGCTCCCTAAGCACAAGCAGGCAGCTGAGCTTAGAACCTGTGCTCTTCAATCTCGGCTAAACTACCCACCCACCGCCAAGTCACACGGCAACCGCTCGGTCACCACAGAGATAGACACGGTGCCAAGCGCTCCAGAAGAAAGCAGCCCGACCCCAGGAGGAATGTAGAACCCCAAGGCTCGGCCGGCCTTCCTAAAAACTATCCAATTTGTTCTCCGAAGGCTTTCTTCCCCGGTGCTTCACCGAAGTCCATCCGGCCCCATCAAACCCCCTTTTAACCGAAGAAGCACTATCAGTCGTCCGTCGTCAGGGGTGAACATTTGTCCTAGAGGAACGCACTGGCGCAGCGACCACCCAAGGTCACGCCCCGGAAACCAAGGGCAGGAGCTGAGTTGGAGTACTGGGGACGCCCAGCGAGGCAGGGTGCCACCAGCTCGCCAATGCTCCCCACTGGCCCCCTAATTAGCACCAAGGCATGCCCGCCACGCCCCAGGCCGAGCTTCCGAAAGGACGCCAGGTGCTGTCGCGACCCACGCCCGCGACCAGGGGCCCCCCAATTCTTCAGTGCCCGCAGCCTGGGCCGTAGCCCGGCTGCCCGCACTCTGAATGCCCGCAGCCTCTAGGCGGAAGGCGGGGCTCAGGCGCCGTCGCCCGGATCTCGGGGGTCCTCAGACCCCGCCACCCCGCGCCATCAGATCCCCAGGACGCAGAGAGCTCCCGGGGGCCCCGCCGAGAGGCCCCAGCCCCTGCCTGACGCCCCGGAGAGCCACAGCCCCACCGCCCCCGACCCCGCCCCCGGCCGTGCAGCCCCTGGAGAAGCGGCTCCCATCGCGCCCCAGCCTCTGCGCCCCCACGGCGCCTTAGAAGGTGCGGTGGCGGCTCTGGCCGCGCCCAGAACGCACCTTGAGGGTCGGGTACTCCTGCACCTTCAGGGTCATGGACAGCTGGGCCGCCGACTCCTGCACCGCCATCTTGGGCCGGCCGAGCGGAGGAGGCGGGTACGCGGCACGCCGGGTAGTGACGTGCGACGCGCGGGGGCAGGCGGAGCGGCTGAGCCCCTGCACCAATCACGTCACCGGACCGCCCGAGCGAAAGAAGTCCCGAGCCAATCACCGCCCACGGGTTCGACCAATCGTCGACAGCTCTAGAGAGCGGCTTCCTCGTTGAATTGTCCGCCGGCCCAGGCCGCTGGCGGGTTTAAGTAGCCTAGACTCCTACGCCGTCTGCATATTGGCAGTTGGGGCTGAGTAGGGCGCGTTAGGTGGCTCTCTTGTAAACGCTCACGCCCCCGCCCACGCACCGGTCACTTCTGGTAGTGGCCACTGGCCCTGTCTCAGTGCTTGGTGGCCATCATCTCTTGGTGGTCACTCAGAGGTGCGGTTTTTGCCATCTGGGAACTACTTTCCTTCGTCTCCATTTTCACGGATTAGCAGAGCTGGAGACCTGACACAGGCTTCCTAATGAAAGATAAAAGTGGATGTTTACAATAGTGTAGGACGGGGCCTGCGAGCAACTGGGCTTTCCCGCAGGTACTACCATAAGGAACGCTTGTCAACTGGTTTTGTTTAAAAAAAAATGTTGACTCCTTGAATTGGGTCTAGAAGACACCTAGAGTGTCCAGTGGCTGTGCTACAACTTGTAGTCAAGTTGGATTCCTGGAGCAACGGTACGTCTTACAAGGAACTGAAACTGAACAACATTGACCTTCCAGGGCCCGCAAGTGAGGGCAATTATTTGTTGCCTTGGCCGAGAATCAGCTTGTCCCTTCAGGCAATAAGGAGTTCTTTTGAACCACCCTACAGAAGACTAATGCTCAACCAGACCACACCTTGACTAGGACTGTTTAGTTATCACACCTCTTACCTCTGCTCTAGTTCTTCCCTATTTTAAAGTTGATTGTTGGTGGCCAGACAATTGACTTGAGGTCACCGAACCCCCTTTATCTGTATGGAATGTGGCATATTAGATTCCTTTCTCTGCATTTCACATTTTGTTGTTGTCGGATTGAACGGTTGCAAGCACATAGGTGCTGGGAACTGAATCTGGGTCCTCTACAAGATCAAGTGCTCTTAACCCATGAGCCATCTCTCCAGCCCTCTCACCTGCTTTTAAAATTAAAAATGAAGTTAGGCTTCATTCATTAGGAAATGACTTCTACATTAAATCGTCTTTTGTGTTTTATAGAACTTAATTATGTTTTGTTTTTGTTCTTTGAGACATGGTCTTTTCTCTGTATAGTCCTGGCTACCTTGAAACTCGCTCTGTAGACCAGGCTGGCCTCAGATTCACTGAGATCTTCCTGTCTCTGCCTACCGAGTGCTGGAATGAAAGATGTGTGTCACCACCACCTTTCAGAACTCAATTCTTCAGGAACATTTTAGACATTAAGTGCAGCATTAGAAAAGAAAGGACTTTTGGTGGTGGTGTTCAGTGAAGGGAGAACCTGCTGGACGATGTGTGAGAACTTCAGTCACAGTTTGTCACAGCTGGGAGGGAAGAAGTATCTTAGAAGAGCTTCCCATTTTAGCAGGGGATTGAGAGATGAGGAGAACACACGTGTGTATGTGTGTGTGTAGACTCTGCTCATCCAGATTCTTTTGAATACTGAGACATTGCTTTGAATAAATTGCTCACATCTCAACTCTGCAGCTACTGAATGTTTTCTGTTTTGTTTTTTTTCCCTCACACAAGCTGATCAAAAGCTAGGACCATTTTCGATTCTAGAGAAGGCTCTGGGTTCCTTCCCCGATGGTATCTCTCAGAATTAGTCCTATCTGGCCTGAGATGACGGAGAAATCAGAGACCCTGAGGCACAGAAGTTCCCAGGCCTCCAGGCCATATGTGCACAGGTGGTATTCCTCACTCTTCTCTGTAGCCATCCTGATTCTGCTATGGTCACATTTATGTTCAATGCTGAAATATTTGCTGCACCAAATATTGGCTCTTAGAGGCCAATTCATGAATTTAAAACTAACCCAAAACAGACTTCTTCTCTGATGCTGTCAGGATGATGTGTCTAGGGTTGTAGGAATGAATTCTTACACTGTTGATTTAAAGAATAAAAAAGGCAGGGAAAGCAAGGTCTCAGCACTCAACCAAGTTTGTTGAAAGCAGAAGCACATACACAAACACATGCAAGACACAAAAAGACAAGGCTCTCCATAGTAGGGAGGGAACAAAAAGATGGCGCCAGAGTCTGCTCAGATGATAGGGGATTTTATATTTGGGAATGGGGTGAGTTCCTTTACTCCTTTGGCTGATTTGGGCTCTGGCAGGGGATTGTATGATCCAAATACAGGGAAGCAGATTGGTTCCCACCATAGGAGTTCTCCAGTGGGAGATTTGAAAGTCTCACCCAACTCCTCCGTGGGAGTCAGGGGAAGGCCTAACAAGCCTTTGTCTTAAAGAGGGAGAAGAACCAGGAAGTCAGCCATCTTAGAAATTTAAGTGAAAAATAGAGTGATCTACTTATAGCCTCTTTTACCTCTTTGTCTTTCTACCATGGGTCTGTCCGATTCCTAGTTGCTCATCTCTATACCAAGCCATCATGTGTGAACTTAATCAGGAATGTTCAGCAACAGTAAAGTAAGTTTGCACATTGAAGCTATAGGCCTTACACAGTCTGATTGGGTCCTTCACTCAAAACCAGTTCTTCACTCTTAACCTTCCTAATGCTGCAACCCTGTAACACAGTTCCTCATGCCGTGCTGACCCCCAACCATAAAATTTTGCTGCTACTTCATAACTGTAATTTTGCTACTGTTAGGAATCATAAATATCTGATATATAGGATTTCTGGTATGTGACCCTCTCCAAAAGGGTCATGACGCACAGGTTAAGAACCTCTGCTCTAGAATTTCTTGTATTTGAAGATAAAATTGCACTGGAACTATTTTTCTCTGGGTGATAAAATGTTTGAGGGTTTTTTTTCCCCTAACTCCTCTGCCTCTAGGCCTCTTGGGATGGGTTAGACCATGATAACAGGGAATACGTGGGGAAGGAAAATGTCTCCTCATGGTCGTCTAGAGGCTCAAAGACTGAGAAACAAGACCCTCAACTATAATACATTCAAGAGACTAGAAAGAGCTGAGCAGTTTTTAATCTTTTGATTCTGCAGAAATGGAGGACACCATCAGCTTAGAGAAAAAGAAAGAAAGTGACTGGCACCCTAGGTTGACAGGAGACAGTGATTTTCAAATTCCCTGAGCGTGACAACTTCCTGCCATCTTTCCCATCGGCTGCTACTCCAGAGAGGTACAGTCTTTGCACTTGTCTAGCATAGACCCCTCCCCAAATCCCCCATCCTATTGATTCAGCACACAAGGCCTCATCTAATGAATGTCCGGTAGCTGGAGAGGCCCTCCTATTATGATCCTAGGGTCTGTCACATAGGAGACTGCTTGTGACTCTTCAACCCTAGCATAGACTGAGAGCACCTAGACAGTGTTCTGCCTATACGCCAGAAGAGGGCACCAGATTTCATAAGAGATGGTTGTGAGCCATCGTGTGGCTACTGGAAATTGAATTCATGACCTCTGGAAAAGCAGTCAGTGCTCTTAACCCCTGAGCCATCTCTCCAGTCCCCATCCTTTCTTTCTTTCTTTTTTAAAATTTCATTCAAGCAGAATAAGTTTCCCCCTGGAATACTTTTTTTTTTCTAAAAAAAAAGAAAAGAAAAAGAAAAATCAGGGCTCTTACCAGAAGGCTACTGGGGTAATTTTTCAAGTGAGGCTCTCTATTCAGGTGATTATAAATTATGGCAAGTTGACATTAAAACCAATTATAATAATTCTCATTCCCAAACAAAGGAATTTGGTGGTGGTGGGGGGGATAGAAGAGAGGAATGAGACCAGAACAAGGCAGAAACGCAGCTCCATGCCCAACACCTAGAACATGCAGAACATATTGGGTTGGAGCCCACATGGCCTCTATCTTCATCTGGCTTCACTCATCGCCAGTGGCTTCTCTTCCGCAGGTGTTCTACATTCCTGGCACTGCCAAATCCTGGGGTTTCTGTTGCTCACAGTTTCATGCAGTACCCTACTATGGGTTTCCTGTAAGACTCTACCACATACTTCCTGGAGTCCCAGACCTTGCTTTGATGTGTAAGTGGAAGCCTCTATAGGCGTTTTTACATTCTGCATGCCTGCAAAGCCAGCATCATATGAACCCTGCTGAGGTCTGCTATGAGCATGAACAGTAACCAGGGCTTACCAGGTCATGGCTCCTGTGGCCTCTGAATGCCTGGTTGACTATTGGGATGAATAGATGATTCTGTTCAAGTAAATGTCTTTCAGATGAGCTTTCCCTTTCCACCCTGAAGCCTGTGAAGCTTAAGCCTGAAGGTTAATTCCTAAGAAAGGCCTCTTTCCCATTGTCCTACTGTAAAGTACCTATCTTCTTTGTAATAGTCCTATTCTTAGCAACCGTACTTCCCCTGGGAATAACTTTAAGTGAGCTCCTTTTCTGTTCAAACTTAAAGATTTAAAAGTCTGCTTTTTGCTCCCGGTTATCAATGCAAAGCTAACTAAAAGAAGCTAACAATAACCACAACACAGCTTGAATGCTAAGATGTCTTGACATTTCCTCTGCTAAATTAATTAGTCCACCATCTTGAACTCAGACTTACAGAAAGTCTGAGAGCATGGGAAAACCTCAGTCAGATTCTTCGTCTCTAGTTGGCCTCTGACCCAGTTCCAGATGGCGTTCTGGTTTCCATATGAAACTTCCCGAGCACAGTCTTTACTATCTATATTCCTTATCCACGCTTTGATCCACTCGCCTCACACCAGAATCACCCTTAAATTCTGCTCATTGCATTCTAGGTTTCTCGAACCCACATCTCTGAAAGACTCCTGAACTGCATCGTCAGGTTTAGTCGTAGCGATGATCCTACTTCTTGACACCAACTTTCATCTCAGTCAGTTTCCATGCCATGACAGAACACCTGGAAATACGGCACAAGGGAGGTGGGATTTATTTTGACTTATGGTTTCGGTCTGATCACTTGACTCCATTGTTTCTCTGGTCCTTGTAATTGATGAGCAGCGAGCATGTGGTGGAGCAAAGTCTTCTCATAGCAGGCAGGAGGCAGTGAGACCAAGAGAAGGCTCAGGAGACAAGATAGCTATTCCCATCTAAGGAATGCGCCCCCAGTGATCCACTTTCTTCAACTCAGCCTCACTCCTAAGAGTACCAAAGAAGTCACATTAGGGCCCATGGTCCAGCTTTCTGCCAGATGCTCCACTAGATGGAATTCAATGTATGAATCTCATTTTGGAGAGTGTACTTTTCCTTTGCCAGTCATACTAGGTACTTTCCTGAGTGGTCCTTTTCGTGCAAAGGAATTGCTTAACTTGTGCTTTTATTCTGAAAATGGATCCTGTGCCAGATCCACCCCTGGTTGCCCATTGAATTTGCACAAAGGAATGCCATGCTGGGAATTTGTGTCTGTAAGTGGTTGTCTGAGTTCTGTGACTTGAAGTCCCATGGCCTTGGCTGTTGAACTCTGCAGAAATGATCATCCCTTAGCTCAGATGAACTTTGTGACTCTGTTGCCACATAAATCTTTGAGGGAACCATGTCTTGGTTTTACATGTTTTGGTTGTTGTTGTTCTATCCCTTCTACATGTCTTTTTTGTTTGTGACCCAGTGAGTTTAATTAGGATTGCTTATGGGAGTTTGGGTGAGGTGTTATTTACAGGAACATGGGCAACTGACTAATGGCAATACTACTGAAGAAAATGTCTCTCCTTCTCCCATTAGCCATTAACTGCCTATAAACCCTCAAGAAGGGGTGGAGCCTTGTTAATTCCTTCTCTCTCCACGCTGAAGTGCTAATGGGCCCAATCCTGTGTCAATAATCACAGCTACCTTGTATTCATGAATGCAATTGCCCTTTCTTCAGTGTTCCCTGAGCCCTGAGGGAAATGACATAGATGTCACATTTAGAGTTGAACATTCAACACTCACTTATTCTCAGCACTTTGACCTCTTGAGTCTCTGCAGCAACCACCTCCCACTGAACAAAGCTGATGATGCATTTAATCTATGGGCGTAACCATAAATATAGGCGGCAGCTTGACAGGCGCATGTTGTTCATCTGTCAAAACAACAGTGGCTGTAGTAGTAGCATGCTGACGAATTAGGTCAGCACGATAAATAACCAGACCAGCTCAAGAACAACAGTTACATTTTTTTAATAGTTGAAAAGGGAAAACTCACACTACAAGAGTGGGAGGTTCAAAATCCAATAGGTCCAGAGAGCACCACACAGAGGGAGCAGTGCGCCTGAATCTACCAGTATTTCTACTTGGACCCCAGGTAGCCACACCCTAATTAGATGTGATTGGTTGATAGTTTCCTCATCATCTCACCCTTTTGTCTAAACAAGACCGAGCCAAACCCAATATAACTCTATACAATAGGAACAGATACCAAATATAAAATTACAAGCAATAAACAATATTAACTAAGGAACGCATAACAACAAAAGTTTTACTAAGCATTTTATTTTAAGGAGTCTAAATATTGCATTGAAATTAAGCTTGGCTAAATCATGAGGAAGGTAGATATAATTATCTAATCTTTAACTCCATCAAAGATCTGAGAAGGGAAACAATATTACTTGAGTGAACAGGAAGTACAATCGGGAAACTTCCAAAATTTGCAACAAATGACAGAGACAACTGACTACCTGGGCAATCACCCAAAGTCTCATTTGCAATGTTGAAGCAACCAACTTTGGCTAAGGCCTAGTGTAACTGACATACCATTTTCAAAGGCAAGAAACTTTTCAAAACTCTCTTACCCTATCTTGGCAGGATATGACAGCCCTGTTTTATCCATTTATGGATACTCTGTATCTCTGTCAGTGGTTGAGGTATAGGCATTTCTTTGCCCAAAGGCCAGTTCTGCCAATAAGAAAGGCTCCAGGTGGAGTGTCTTTGGTGCTCAACATTCTCTCGGGAATAGATCAGTGTTACCAGGAGCGACTGTGTCTCACTACCACAGAACTCTGAGTTAGATTAAAGGCCATTTTCTACAGCTCTTTGAGGAGGTTGAAGATTATCTATCTACACTGAATATAATCTCTATGTATCTAAAGAACCTGATTAGTCTAATTAAAATATGACAAACATAGGTGACTATTGATCTATATAATTCTCAATACCTATCTAACTTAAAGACTAAGACTAGGGGGCTGGAGAGATGGCTCAGATGGTGTGGGAGAATTGTCTGTATTCTGTCAATCATATTTTAATAAAACACTGATTGGCCAGGCAGGCAGTATAGGCGGGAAAGCCAGACAGGAAGTAGAGGTGGAGCAAAGAGACTGGGAGCATTCTGGGAAGCAGAAAGCTCCCTCCGCAGTTCTGCCCAGACCACCGGAGAGGAAAGATGTAAGCTGCCCCACTGGAAAAGGTACTGAGCCATGTGGCTAATGTAGATAAGGATAATGGGATAACATAAGTTATAAGAGCTAATAAGTAGCCTGACCAAATGGGCCAATCAGTTTATAACCTTATGGAGTCCTGTGTGTGATTTTCCTTGGGAGTTCCGGCTGAGGGGTACCGGGCGGGACAGAAACCCCAACAAGCCTCATGCTACAGCTCAGAGGTTAAGAGCATTGCCTGCTCTTCCAAAGGTTCTGAGTTCAATTCCCGGCAACCACATGGTGGCTCACAGCCATCTATAGTGAGATCTGGTGCCCTCTTCTGGCTAGCAAGCATACAGACAGACAGAACACTGTATACATAATAAATAAATAAATAGATATTTTTTAAAAAAGACTAAGACAATAAACAACTGTGCAATAAATGAGGACAATGACCTTCAAATGTAAACGATGTATAAGTATCTTGATCAGAGGTAGTAATGTACACTGCAATATGGTAAATATATATATCAATACATAATGTTTTAAACAGGGGTAGAAGCATACATGCATACAATATTCAATATAATTTAACTTTGTATCAATATACAAGAATCGATACCAATGTATTTGTCTAAAAACAATAATTCACAAGTACCATCTATTGTCCCATCGTCCAATTATCCCTCCTTTTTTTTTTTTAGAAAGATCCCTGAGCCTATAAAATTCCTCTCCCATCCCTCAACCGTATACCAATTATAATCAACCCCTAAGTGATTTGTCCCTAAGCCTGAGGGCAAATTTTGCTGGGAGAGGGGACGTCCTCTAAAATTGCTTCCAGCTGTAAAGGGGGCAACATTCTTTCTAGGCGATCCTGTTAAAGTAAATGATGGTTAAATTTCAAGATTAATATTTGGTCTGGTAAAATTTCAAATAGTCTCTGAGTATTTTGTGGAGGTCTGGCCAGAATGTTGTAAAAGATGTGCACCGTTTCAGCTAAAAAGTTGGAACCATCTTGTGTAGTTGGTACCCAAAACAGGTCTTGTAGTAGTGCTATCAGCATCATGACGTCATATCAACCAGGTGGAGTTGTTGTTGTGGGGCCCCATCTTCTTCCTGGAAACCTCAAAGATTACTGCAGGGAAATTTATTGTTCATTATGGAAAACTTAAGCATTATCTATATAGACATATACAGACATATATATTCAATGAAAGATATGATAAAGACAAAATAGATATGAGGAAAGGCAAAGAAATTTTGTAAATTATTTTTTCCTTCTGTCCCATATCATGGCTCTTGACATGAGACAGAAACTCTGGGTTTTCTCTTAACAACAAGCTTGGAACTAGAGAGGGACTGAGCCAGAGTCCAACTCCAAAACCAGCTCTATATATTTATAAACACAAATACATTGTAGCAGTAGTAGTAATCCACACCAAGGTCTAAAACTTCCCAGCTATGAGCTTTGGAGCAGGTTTATAGCATCAGCAGAGATCTCTCTCCTGTGGCACAGGCCCCAAAGCCAATCAGACAGAAAGTGGTTAGTTACCCTGTCATTCCAGTGTTGCACTATGGGGACGTCATGCTTGGTAGGTTGGTGTAGCACTCACAGACCACCACCGAGTAAGTCTGTTGATTGCTCTTCTCCCCTAGCTGACTGAATATAACCCTCCAGAACTCTGAAAGCTATCACCAGGGAGGAAGAGTGTATCTTTTAAATAGCTTTATGCTATTACCTTTTCTATGGTTCTGGGGAACATTCCCAGGGCATAAACAGGGTATCCCAATGCCTTTCATTCCTAGAGTACAGCAGCCATTTCAAGCAGCTGCCAGCAAGAAGGGACTGAAACTTCTTTCTCTTTCCCCCTTCCTCCCTTTCTCTCTCTCTCACACACCATGTGTAGTCTTGGCAGACCTGGAACTTGCTGTGTATGTAGACCAAGTTAGCCTCAAACTCATAGAGCTCCTTCTGCCTCTTGAGTCCCGGAGTCTCTTCCAGCTTGAGATAATGGTACAGAACAGGGGATGCATCAACCTGCACAGACACCACCCCAGCAACGCCCATGGGGGCTGCTACGCTGTGTCTTAGTTAGGGTTTCTAACTAACATGGTGCTGTGATGAAACACCATAACCATATTATTTCATCATACGCCTGCAGTCTATCATTCAGGGAAGTCGGGTCGGAAGCTCGAAGGCAGGAGCTGACAAAGTGGCCATGGAAGAGTGCTGAGTGCTGCTTTCTGGCTTGCTCCTCATGACTTGTGCAGTCTGCTTTCTTATAGCACCCAGGACCACCAGCTCAAGGTGGAACCCCACAGTGAGCTAGACCCTTCTACATCAATCAAGAAAATGCACCGCAGACTTACCCATGGGACTATCTAGGGGGAGCACTTTCTCAACTGAGGTTCCCTCTTCCAAAATGACTCATTTTATGTCAAGTTGACATTAAGCTAGTCGTTACATCTTGTCACAGACTGGCCTTCCCAGTTCTAGAGTTTGCATACTGATTTGTGGGTCTCTCTCTCTCTTCTTCTTTTGTTTCTTTTCTTTTTTTCTTTTTTGAGACAGGGCTTCTCTACGCAACAGCCCTAGCTGTCCTGAAACTAGCTTTGTAAACCAGGCTGGCCTCAAACTCTCAGAGATCTGCCTGCCTCTGCCTCCCGAGTGCTGGGATTAAAGGCGTGCGCCACCTCAGCCTAGCTGATTTGCAGGTTTGATATGACCCCAGATACCTGCAGAATCTGCTTTATGAGTGGTATCTTTGGCTGGGGCCCTTCAAGTCCCCTGATGTCACATCACACTTGTGTCAGACATTGTAGGCCAGCTGCTGACCCAACTCCCAGACAGATGGATGGACTTCTTCCCACTGCCTTTGAGCTGCTCTCTGAAGCTGCATCCAGTCCTATGGCTGGGACTAGTGACCAGCCATGACTGAGATCTGCACCATATTGGATGCCATTTCTTGGTTTGTTTGTTTTTGCGCTGCTCCTGCTAAGGTGCTTCATAGCCTTAACCTGACTTTGCTTCCCACAGAGGCCAGATACCTCCTGACCTAGCACCTCAGCCTTACCAACCTTGAGATTCTCTCACTAGGGAATTAGTACAAGGTTCCTAAACTTCAGCAAGGCACATGCCTGGAAGGAGTGTCTTCTTCCTGGTAAGCACTGCAAACTTAGGGGAAAATTCTGCGCGATGTCATTCTGTCATAATCCCCATGAAACATCCAAATGCTATTGTGGGAAAGACAAGATGTGGGTTAGGATCATCTGAAAATACGGGATCTGGGGGAGAACTTGGAAGTGCATGAGATCTTCTAGAGCCAAGAATAAAAGTACAGAGGCAGAGAGATGGTTTATCAGTTAAGAACAGTTGCTGTCTTGCAGAGAACTCAAGTTTGGTTATCAAACCCACAATCCTCTGTAAGGCCAGCTTCACGGGCTCTGATGCCCTCTTCTGGCGTCCTCAGGAACATGTGTATACCCACAGTTACACACACACACACACACACACACACACACACACACACAATTAAGAGGAAAACAAAATAAATCCCTTTTCAAAATAATCAAACTATATTTAGGGCTGTGGCTTAGTGGTAGATCACTTGTTTAGCACGTGTGAGGTCCTAGGTTCAATTCCAGCACAGTTAAATGACTACACACATACCAGGAGGTGTGAGCTCACCATCCCAAGTCTAAGAATCTATAAAGATTTCTCTATTCCAGTGCTCTGTGGGGACCAGTTTGTGAGCCCAGCTTCAGGCTTTAGGAATATAGATGCCTTTGAGTCATTTCTTTTCCTGCAAGTAACCTCAATAAAACTCAGAGGTTCATCAAGTTGTACTTTAGTAGAATCCTCACTTTTGGTCTGTCACTGTAGCGAGTAGATGCTTGCTGCGGGAGTACCTTCCACTGCTTCAGCCAATAGTCACTGAAGCACGAGCCCACAGTGCTGCGGGAGCACCTTCCACTCCGTCAGCCAATAGCCGCTGAAATACCAGCCCACTGGGGCGAGGTATATTTCTCTTTAAAAGAAGAGCAGCAAGCCTCGGCTCGGCCTCTTGGTTCCGGCGCTTGGTTCCAGCTCCTGCTCCCGGCTCCTGCTTCAGCGACTAGGCTCCCTTCCTG